AGACTTATCCAAGTGGGAGACTGTTGGATTAGGGGTTTAAGTCTATAATTATAATTGGTATATACTTCAATTGATAGTATCACAGTCCTTTTGGGTTGCCTTCATACTAGCAACTAGACAGGATGACCTATTGAGAAAGTGGAAGAATTTATTATTTGATTAATAAATTGAAATGAATGATACATTAATATATTATGGAAATAATATATTAATTGGAAATCATATTATTTAATTAATAGTTAATCTGAAATTAATTGGAATTAGTTTTGGGATTCTTGAATTAATTAAAAGTGCAGGGGTTGTTTGGAAATTTATTGATAGTTGAGGAAAGAAGGTCTAGAACCTCCATAAAGAGGCTTGGACGAAAACTTCTAGGAAGGCCCTAGAATTTTCGTCCAAGGGCTATGGGATGGAAGGTTGTGGGCTGCTTGGTCCTTAAGCTAAGGAAGTAGGGTTTCCTCCTAAAACCCTAGCTTTGGCTCTAAGTCACCTAACTATATAATGAGCCTCACCCTTGGTATTTTCGGCCACATGAAACCCTAAGAAGAGTGGCCGAAAATTGAAGCTTCCTCCTCCTCTCTCATATCTCATTCTCTTGCTAAGTGTGTTTGTGATTCATTAGAGGTGTTACACTTGTGACATTTGATCTCAAGCTTCAACATCTTCAAGTATTTTGGATTGTTATTACTACATAACAATCAAAGGTACGTATCATAACCCTTATTGTGTAATTTTCGAATATTTACTAGAGATCTACGGTTTATACATTGTTGTTCATAATTGTATGTTCAATTAGAGAAGACATAGATCTTATTTAGGGTTGCATGCACACACAGGATTGTATGCTATCTTGAAAACCCATCATAGAGTTAGTAGTAAAGGTATTATTATTGACGGAGTTACCAGGATCCTTGTTCTTGGGAGTAACGAAGATTTCACCGGGATCCTGGATCATATGGGCTTGCTCTTTTGGAGTCATGCCCTAGGCAGGAACAGAGGTGGGTGTTGAGGATCCTATCTCGCAGTGGTTCGTTGAATATCTCGTACTGTCAAAGTTCAGGATCTTGGGCTGCAAGATCAAGGGTGCTGCTTCTTGAGGCTTGCAGATCTCTACCCTCATTCTCTCCACTTCGTTGAGTATCGTTATGTTATCCTCTTGATGTTGAGTGACGTGTCGTTCCAATCGCTTCATCATAGCGAAGATTTCGTTATTAGAAATCAGTACAGGAGGATCCTGAAGTCCTTGGGTAGCTACCGGAGAGGTGTTTTTCTTCGGTACCTGTAGAGACCCATTTTTATAACGAACGGTGAGTGCGGAAGAAGGATATCTCGAGATTAATCGTGTTTTTGTAAGTATGAACACCAAGAACATATTATGAGTTCATAAGAAAAGACTAAGAACAAGAGAGAATAATCATAATATTGCATGAAGAACATGGTGGGAGAGAAACTCTCCCTGGGTGGGAGAACCCACCACTTTCTCTCTCTAGAGATTACATTGTAGAAAAGTAAGAATTAAGTAGGAAAGGATTAGCTAGCTAAAGTAATAAATGACCAACTCTCCCTTTATATAGGAGGGAGAGTATTTACACATAAAATTCAATAAAGGGAAAATACAACCTAATAAACACTCATTATTTGTGGAGCATTTCCATGCACCAACATTCTCTCCCTAAATGCTTACAAATGATGAGAGATCCAATAAATGATACAAGGCTATAATACAGTAATCCGACTAGCAAGTGTGGTAATAAAATGCAATCAAGTGCTGAAATGTCTCTAAAACTCTGAAGTGTCTGTGAAGTCTGAAACTGGCCATGAATCTCTAACATGAAGGTCTTCGGCTTCAAAGCACAACCAATGAAGCAGAAAAAATATAAGATCCAAATCTTCAAACCAGTCATAATCACCCGAAGAAGGAGGTCACCATGAGCAAGTAGAAGATCCAATAAAGGAAACACTTCGGCTTCAAAAGTCTGAAAAACATCTCGAGTTCTCGAATCATAATATACCAAAATTCTTCAAAGAATAACCTGCTAAAAATGTGAAGCATCCATAAAATGAAGTCCGGATAAAAATAATGTGAGTCCAAAAACATGGTCAGCAATGCCAAAATTTTGATCAACCGATCAAAAATAAGTGTCATGTCACATCGTCAAAATAATCTTCGTCTTCAACATATCACAAATCCAAACTCATGAAACCATAAAATCTGAACCGGATGCGAACACAAAATCATCCTGTGGTAGAGTCCGAATAATAAATAATCTGAATCGGAAAACATCGAGTAATGCCAAAAATTTGATCCGTAAAGACCAAAAAATAAGTGTCACATCGCATCACTAGATAAATAATCGTCTTCAGAAGTCTTCAAAAATCCAAACTCAAACAATCATAATAACCAAATCCGGATGATATTCTCTCCCTATTTTTGATAACCAATGACCGGATATCAAAAATCAACAAATCATCGGATGGAGAGTGTCGGATACCAAGAGCTAATAGAGAAGCTCTCCTTAGATGTATGAAGGGTCTCGATAAGAAACGAGAAAGAGTCAAAGAGATACTCTTGCGGTCATGAGGAAGCGGGTGACATTGTTGCTGAAGCTGTGCTGAGAATAATCTGTTGTGCCAAAAATAATATCCAAATATCCAAACTGCGGTGCCAGAACACTTGAAGTGGTCTTCAATAGAGAATAAAGTCCACATGCTCAAGATACATGATTCGTCAACCAAAAATCAAGAGCGACAAGTCATAAAATCTCATAAAGTGAAAAATGCGAAACAACTTTGTTGATCAATCGCCGTTGCGGTGCAAGCATCACAAAAAATAATATGAAGTCCGACTGCGGTAGGAATATTCTTCCAATAGTAATAACCGGCATGAAATAAACCAATGTGACAATCCAAGGTTCGGTTGTGGCAAAAATTGGTGTTAAAAAAAATAATTGGTGTAATAAAAAAAATTGGTTTTAATAAAAAAAATGGCTAAATAAAAATAATTGGTGTTAAAAAAAATAAATGGCTAAATAAAAAATTGGCTGAAAAAAAAATTAATTGAAAAAAAAATTTAATTAAAAAAAATGCAGAAAAAAATCTGAATAAAAAAAATAAAGTCTTGAAAAAAAAAGGGTTTTTAAAAAAAAGAGGGGAAAAAAAGGAGGGGAGGGGAGGAAAAAGAAGGTGGAAAGGATGAGGGAGGAGGGAGGAGGAGAAGGAAGGAAGAGAGAGGAGGAGAGGGGGGGGCTGAAGAACTGAAGGAGAAGGAGGGGAGGGGCCGAAGTCAGGAGGGTTGCGGGTGTATGGTGGTTGCGGTAGGAGGTGATTGCGGGTGGAGGTGATTGCGGATCAGAGGGGAAGGTGGGGGTCTTGGGTGCGGATGGAAGGGCCTGGGTGCGGACGCAAAGGAAGGAGTGATTGCGGTAGGTGAGGAAGCAGCTAAGCTGCAGTAGGCGCGTTGCGGTAGGGGCGTTGCGGTCGCGGGTCATCAGTCAGGACAGGTTGCGGTCCGAACCGAGAAGGGATCCGAACCGAGGTTGCGGTATAGCTGATGGACTTCGGTCAGCAGGGACTGCGGTCCGAGACTTTTGACTTCGGTTCAGCAGTCAGGAAGAGTTGGTTGCGGTCTCTTGGCTGCTGACCTCGGCTGCGGATGGGACCTGAGAGGAGCTGCGGTACCAAGGCTAAGAAGGGCTGCGGGTAGGCTTCTAAGGGGACTCCGGTAGGCAGTTTTTGGCTGCGGTCCGGGGGGCTGAGAGGGGCTGAACAGGTGACGAAAAATGCTATTTTTTCATGAAAAATGGTACCGCAAAGGCCATTTATTCATATTTTAATAAGGGAATCTTTTTATAAAGCATTCTAAGTCAAAGGTGGGTCTTGGGAAGGCAAAAAGTGGAGTGTGCAGGGGGTTTTTAGGGACAAAAGGTGATAGGATTGCACAATGTCACATGGTTTTTGTCTTTTTGAGGGAGCAAATAGTGGAATACTCTTTACCCAAAAGAGTAACAAGGACAATATGCTTTTTGCAAACAAATAATACGTCCAAATTTCTTCAAATCAAAGATCCACAGCAACAATTTAAAATTGAGAGATATGAAGATAATACCTCTTATGATGAGAAAAAGTGCTGGGAAAAAGTCTTCAAAAGAAATTCTCCACTTTCTTCATGAATAATAAACCCATTAATCTTTGTGTCTTCACATCCAAGAAAAAGAACCTCCTGGAGAACATCTTCAACATTTTTAAGAGACCACAAAATTAATTCTTCTCCCATTTCTTCAACAGCAAAAATAATAAACTTTTAAGAACATCTTCTTCCAACAATAAATAGAACGAGCAGCAGCAGCAACAATTTATTTATTAAGATAGAATCACCCAGAAAATAGAGCTAAGAACGAACTTCATAAAAAAAATTCCGGTAAGAAACCCGAAAAAAAATTTCTTGCAAAAACACGGAAAAATCACAAGATAATCACCGAACGGGAGTCGTTCCCTTGAAATAATCGTGAGATCTTCAAGGTACGGCTCTGATACCAATTGTAGAGACCCATTTTTATAACGAACGGTGAGTGCGGAAGAAGGATATCTCGAGATTAATCGTGTTTTTGTAAGTATGAACACCAAGAACATATTATGAGTTCATAAGAAAAGACTAAGAACAAGAGAGAATAATCATAATATTGCATGAAGAACATGGTGGGAGAGAAACTCTCCCTGGGTGGGAGAACCCACCACTTTCTCTCTCCAGAAATTACATTGTAGAAAAGTTGAATTAACTAGGAAAGGATTAGCTAGCTAAAGTAATAAATGACCAACTCTCCCTTTATATAGGAGGGAGAGTATTTACACCTAAAATACAATAAAGGGAAAATACAACCTAATAAACACTCATTATTTGTGGAGCATTTCCATGCACCAACAGTACCTCATAGCTTTTTTTGGGTGTACTTTCTGTTAATTTTTCAGGTGTTTTAACTCATTTCCCCACCCCTATCAAAAGGATGGAATCTCACACTGAACCGCTTATACTTTCAATTTCGGATCTTCCCAAGGGTTTGAAACCATTTTCTCCAACCTCATCTCATTTGACCACCGGTAGTGCCGATGAAACTCAACACCAACATAAGTATAAACCACTGATATCGTCTCCTTGACCACCAATATGAAACTCAACTAATGTCTCCCTCTTCCTAAACTATCGACATGAAACTCAATTTTAGGTTCGATTTTCACATCTACTAGACCACTGTTGCCAATGTTATATCTCTATTTTGCCCTTTCTCTATATATCCTACTCTTTTTATCTTCTCCATACTCACAGTGTCGATCTCCTTTTAACGGCATGGGGTGTTTCATGCATATGATGTTATGATTACTTGTTCAAGGTTGTTTTCATCAGGGATTCAAGTGTCGATAAAACCATTTTTTGTCATAGTTCTCCAAGAATGAAATCATCTTTGGTTTTATGTTTTGGGTGTGATTTCAGGTTCGAATTCATCAAATTTCATAGAATTTTTAGTTTTTATTTTGATTTTGTGGTTTGATTTCAACAAGTCCATCAATTTTACGTTTGATGTTCAATTTCATCAGGTTTTTTGTTTTTGGTTTTGAGTTTCAGGTTTGCTTCAATAGGTTCCATTGATTTTGAGTTTCAGGTTTGATTTCATCAAGATTGATTAGGTTTTTAGTTTAAGTTTTGAGTTTCATGTTCAATTTCATAAGTCTCATCGATTTTGAGTTTTAGATTTTTAATTTCAAGATTTTTTTAGAATTTTAGGTTTTGTTGGAATCTGTTTCATTCTAGTCGGAGAAGACGACGAAGGGAAGGCCCGGTAGTGGGTTAAAGAGGTGGTAGTGGGGTGGATGTGGGTTGGGGTGAGGGTGAGGGTGGGACCAATTTCATTTTTGTAAAAGTTCTCCAAAAATGAATTCATCTTTGGTTTTATGTTTTGGGTGTGATTTTAGGTTCGATTTCAACAACTTTCATAGAGTTTTTAGTTTTGGTTTTGATTTTTTGGTTTGATTTCATCAAGTCCATCAATTTTACGTTTGAGGTTCAATTTCATCAGGTTTTTTGTTTTTGGTTTTGAGTTTTAGGTTTGCTTTAATAGGTTCCATTGGTTTTGAGTTTCAAGTTCGATTTCATCAAGATTGATTAGGTTTTTAGTTTAAGTTTTGAGTTTCATGTTCAATTTCATAAGTCTCATCGATTTTGATTTTTAGATTTTTAATTTCAAGATTTTGTTTAGAATTTTAGGTTTTGTTGGAATCTGTTTCATTCTAGTCGGAGAAGACGACGAGGGGAAGGCACAGTAGTGGGTTAAAGAGGTAGTAGTGGGGGGGGGGGGGGTGGGTGTGGGTGTGGGGTGATAGTGAGGGTGGGACCAATTTCATTTTTGTAATTATAAATAATAAATTAATTGAAAGAGAAACAAATATGGACAATACAGTCTTTTCATATATATATAAAGGGATCAAAGACGCAACAAAAACCTATTATATAAACTCTCTAAATCATAAAAGAGTTAAGGACCAAACGTACACACTAATGTAAACCACATGAACCATTAAAAAACCTTTAAAGTATTAACAATCAAAGTAAAGGTAAGCTTATACCTATACTCAGATTTAACAATCTTGATCATGATAAAAAATGAAGGGGTAAACAGGTTACCCCTTGCTTGCCTACTTTACCGACAGGAGGATGACTTTCGTACACAACAAACTTAGCCAAACTCCTCCCAATAAACACCCTCTTAGACTTACAACTCCTAAATCCCATCTTCACCAATAACGACTCTTGTGATGCCCCACCCACCCCTTAACTTCCACCATCCTCCTCTTAGCGACCCCCACCTTGCTTGCCTACTTTACCAATAGCATCAAGTCCGACGACGGCCAACTTTTCTATTGATTCACAACTATTAAAGGGGTGTAGGTGTTTGATTATTACAATCCAAAAATTGTAATCGATTTGAGGAAATATCAGTTTGTTTTCGGTGTTGGTGTTTGGAGCGATGACGTTTAGGGATCTAAATGTTGTGAGTTCTTTTTATCCGTCGTCGGGACGTGAAGGTCGGGAGGTTTTCGATATTGTTTCGATTGGAATCGGTGTTATCTGCAATGCTTTGTTTGTTGTTTTTCCGACAAGAAGACATGGGATCGGGTATCCTATTGTAACAGGACAGAGAGAAGTGAGAGTTCCAAGAGAGTAGCTGGTCCTCCCTTTGAGTCGTATCATAACCTTGATTCTGATTACAAGTATATTTAAGCTTTGATTTTTAAGTTCTTACTCAAAATTTAAGCTTTGATGTATCAGGTTCTTGTACATATTTCACCTCCTGATTTTTGGAAGTTTGAATGTTAAATATTTATGGTTTTGATTTCATTACAGGTCATTGTGTGATTAAAAGCATTTGCAGGCTTAAGAGTTTACAAAAATAAAGAGGATAAGCATTTGAAGGTTTTCTCGGGTTGAAGAACGAAATAGAAATCAACAACTTTGAGAATATTACAATGGTGAAATTGAGAAAATAAAAAGTCATATCAGTTTGTGGGTGAGTTGGAATTGAGAAGGAAGTCACATCAACTTCAAATGCTTATGTAGCTTATGAAACCTATTATAGTAGGTAGCAACAGGGTCGGCCTTACATTGATTGACAGTAAACAAGGGCTTAGGGCCCCAATTCTAAGGGGTTAAGTGGGGGATTGTCGATTTCGGATTCTCCATTCATGCAGACACACACACCACAATTTTGATTGAAACTAAGCATCAGCTCTGCCAAGCGACCATTCTTCTTCTCGACTTCTTCTTCCTGACTCTGAAGTCAAATCGATTCTTAAATCTGGATTGTTAAAAAATCGATTCTTGAATCTTGATTGTTCAAAAATTGATTCTCCATCAGTCCATTGTTGATTCTTCTTTCTGAAAGGTTGTCAAGTGTGAAGAAACGGTATGTTCTTCCTCTGATTCTTTATTTCTCCATAACTGATAACTGATAACTCCATTGTTGATTCTTCTTTCTCGATTAGACTATCTATTAGGGTTAGACGTATTTTTTTTTAATATTCATTGTGTCAAGTTGGATTTTGGAATCAGGTTTGAACTTTGGATATTGGAATCAGGTTTGGACTTTGGATATTGGAACGATTTTGGTTAATTAGTTGGAACGAATTTTAGTTGCCAAGTTGCAATTCCATATTTCCATTTCAGTTTTCTCAAGGAGTCAAGGTCAAGGATGTGAAGACTCAAGAACTATCAAGAACTTACTTTGCCAAACAGGCAAAACAGGTATTTCCAATCGAGGTATTTCCAATCTATAATTCATTACTAATTTACTTCCAGTTTACTTTTTTTTGTCTTGGTGATATAGTCTGAGTTGTATGCAAAGAGAAAGGAAGTCCCTTTGCTCCTGATGTTTGTCATGAGTATGTCATGGCTTATCCTTCATTATCTATGATAGTATGTACTTTGTTGTATAATTATTTGTTTGAACACTTTTAATTAATGCGATATTTATTTATCTTTTCTAAGTTCTAACAACATGTTTATCATATGGGAGAGTTTATAACATTCAGTATAGTAAAGGCCAAAGGGCTTCAAATTTTTGGTTCGTTTAGAGCCCCAAACTAGTTGAGCCGCCATTGGGTAGCAATGACAAAAAAAAAATCTAGATAGTGATGACTAGACTAAAAAGCAGGTCAACATCCATCTTATGCCCTCATAAAGCATCAAAAAATATTAAATGGTTGATTCGGTAAATTCCAAAAACAATATTGAACTAATGTGTCGTTTTCCCTTATTAATATTGTTTGTATGATATAATAATGAGAAAGCATAAAAATATAGGTGGGCTTTGCATGGTTTCTTTTAGCATTTAATGGGCTTCAGCCAAGTTTTCCACGAGGAACTGATGTACACTAAACCTTATTTTATTTTATTTTTCTTTTCGTGATGAATTCCACAAGCAATTATACACATTCTTATACGATTTTACATTGGAACTTTGACATCTTTCTTATGTGGGTTTTGGTGGTAGCGTAGTTATCATCTACTCAACCTAAGTGCATCAAGTAATATGCCTATTTAGGCTATGTTCCTATTAGATAGCTGAAAAACTAATTAATATCATATTTCTTCTAGATCAGATAATCCAATACCGGATTTTGGATAAATTCTGACCATATTCTACCGTATTTTTTTGTTGGGATATGGATACTTGTGTAACTCGGTTCGGATTGGATATATTCAGATATGATTTCGGATATTGCTATATTAATCCTTTCTATTTTTTAAATTTTAAATCTAATTCCAACCAAATAGATACTTGTATTATATTTTCGATATGATTTCCATCATTTCCTATATTAATCCTACAAAGAAAAAAAAAGGATCAACAGTTCCTTTGACAGTAGCTAACACCATCCACCCTACTATTTCCCTCTATAGACTAGACATGAATTAACACTTTATTTTGCCACTTTTATGAATTAACAACGAATCGAAAGGAACTAAAAATGATAACTTATAAGCAGCATACAATATTTTGGGAAGACGTCTTGAAGGAGCTGTAAAATCAAAAAGATGCATTATATATATATTTTTTCTTTTGGTGTGTAGAAAGGTATGCAGGAAACAATCAAAAACAAAAGGAATGCCTCTAAAAATGTAACACAATGAATCAACCATGTTCTTGAAAACGAATAATCATTACCTACCTTCGATTTTCAATATCAGCATCATAATCTCTTCGATTTTTCAGAACCTGGACAAATATCATCAACTATAATAGAACAAATATGAATGAATTGGATTCTCTTCAACATTGGACTAAATCAGAGATCTTCACTGAAATAGTAGTGATTTGGTACCTTTCTGGATATTACTATTGCTCAACTTTCGAAGGTGCTTATCATAAATTCAGATAAGGTTACGACTGCTAATTGAATGAAGAAATTAAAACACCAACAGATCGTTAATGGCGTCGCTGGTGCAGATAATCTTCCGTTTGTATATATATCAACAAATCTCTATAAACTTTGTTCAATTGATCATTAAAATCGCTATTACAAGATATATCCATCTCAAGAAATTGAAGATATATTTGCAGATTACTTACTTTAAGGTCCATCGTCTCCATCTCGAATCAAATTACAGATATCGGAGCACTCCACCAAACAATAATGGCGACTCCGAAACCCTTGTTTGAAAACAACCAGAGGCCTCCGAACATTAAACGGACCTTCGCCGGGCGACCCATCTCCGCCGCGTATGCAAGTCGTCACACACTTAATCGTGCACGATTCCGCTTGCCTCGATTTGGGTTTTTGAATTCTAGCCTTTTTGCAATCGCCATCTTTCCCCTGAACACAATCGCCGGATAACATCTGCGGAATGTTTGACAGGGTTTCTGCGGCATCCGGCGGTGGGTTTCTGGGTTCAATTGCGATTGCCGACGTCGTGCTCGATAAAATCACTACCGCCGCTGCTGCCGTCGCCATGAAGATGCTGGTGCCTACTCCGTGAAACGTTAGGGTGGACATTGGTAGAGCGATGGGTTTTTTGAGGGTGTTGGTGATGAGTGGTGGTTGCTGGTGATGGTGATTCGCCGGAGAATATCGCGAGAAGGGTACACCGGGAAGAAGCATTTTGTATTTTGTAACGCTGTTTATGTTTCGACCTCTTGAAATGTTTGTGAATAATAAGCTACAGAATAAATCTGGTAACACTAACCCACCAGAAGAAAGGGGCCAAAATGGCAAATTGGATTCGAATGAATATACTCAAGGCCCATTTGATTTGAGGATTCCCATGGATACGAAATGGAAATGAAATTATTTGAGAAAGTATGGTTTAAAGTAGGCTTGCACAAACCGGTTTTTTTTCTGAACCGGACCGGTTCAGAAAACCGGTTCGGTTCTGGTCAACTTAGTCAAAACCGGTTCACCCTCAAACCGGTTCGGTTCTAAACCGGTCCAGCCTCAAAATAATCTGAACATATGTAAACCGGTTCGGTTCTCTAGAAACCGGTTAAAAAAAACCGGTCCAAAAACTATTTCTTAAACCGGCTCAAAAAGGGTTCAAAACCGGTTCGACGGAAAAAAAAAAAAATTTCAATTTTTTTTTTTTTTTTTAGGCTAATAACTGAAAAATAGGAATGGGTTTTTTTTTTTTGAATCTATTGCTTTTATTGTGTTTAACAAAAAAAAAGGGAGGTTTCACTCTCAGAGTAGGTTTTTTGGAAATGAGGGTGAATTGGGAAGGCTTAGGCTTTTGGTAATACACACACATACACACTAACACACGTCCATATATATGCCAAAAGTTTTTTTTTTAATTTTTTTTTGTTTCTTGCTTATCTTTTGATGTATTAATTTTTTTTTTTTGGTTTTAGATTTGATGTTTGTGTATATGTATAAAAACATAATAATATACATATCTTTTGGTGATGAACCGGTTCAAACCGGTTCAAAACCGGTTCAGCAAACCGGATAAAAAAAAACCGGTTCCAAACCGGTCTCAAGGGTAAAAAGGGTGAATTGGTCGGATCCGGTGGTTCGGTTCATACGCGATTCGGTTCTTAAGTGAACCGGTTCAGGCCTAAACCGGTTTCCGGTTCAGCGACCGGTTTGGTTCCTGAACCGGTTTTTTTGCACACGCCTAGTTTAAAGCTTAAAACACTTTAGTACAAACTATTTTGAGAAAGTATGGTTTAACATCAGAATTTTATTTATCATCGTTTTATGTTTTGTAAGATTAGATCGGATTAAAAGATACTAACAAAATAAATTATTCTTCAATTGTGTTCACAAGTTGTGTTGTAGACTGTCCGTTATAACTTGGTGTTGATTAAAAAATCTATCGACTATCGTGGAACCAACTTTAACTTGGCCATAATTCTCGTGGATTCAAATCATAACACTTACGAAGAAAACACCTTAAGCAAAAAAAAAAAAAAAAACATAATTGCAACAATATACGGCTAAAGAAACAATATCACAAAAGGGACTAAGATTTGTATTATGATGTTCTGTTCTGATGAATCGATGAAATTGTGGTGCTCAATGATATTTCTTGGGATCTACAATGTTAGATTTCATGTTCCCTGTATGATTTTTTTAGGCTCAGTTTTAAACTGAATAAACAAATCCTTTAGGCTCTACATTAAATTTTTATAAATAACAACTTCCATGAGGATTATAACTAAATAATTTATTATAGAATAAAGACTAAAGAGATAGGATTTGATTACGATACTAGTTTGAATCCTAATACCACAATATAGATCTTACTTCAGAATCGGTTATAGTGTGTTTGAGATCGTTTTTACTCGTAGGATTTTATGATCGTAAAATCAATAAGGTTAAGATCGAGATGCAGGTAACCACGTATAGCGAATAACGGTGACTTTGAACCAAAAAAAAAAAAAAAAATACATATAAACTTATTTTATTTATTTGAATGTTTTAAGTTATGCCTGTTGGAATTTTTAGATAACTTGGGCCGTAGGGAAATCGCTAATTGGGCTGCTGGTTTTTTAATAATAACAACAGTTCATCAAAATAGTATGTACAAAAGATCGATAAATAAATAATTTATATTTTCTAAATTATCAATTTTCTACTAACCAGTGCGAAATACATTATCTAATTTAAATCACTATATCAATTACACCCATAAATAGTTTTACAGCTACAGCTCTCTTGTTTCCTACAAAATTTTGCATCGCATCGTCAAAAAGCGAGGATCGGTGAGGTAAAATTGAAGTAAGAATATGTATAATTTACAAAGTAACATACTAGAATAGGTATATGTAGTCTGTAACCGGTTAGATTAGTTTTCATTCTTATCATATAGCATGACATGTATTATAAATACATACCATATAATAAATGAGTGGGAATGGAAGTGATTCTCAAAAACTATTATGGTATTAGAGCTTGGAAAACCTAGAACAACCGTCGTCGTATGTAATACTTCAGCCATTGCTATGCCTTCATAAGTGGCCAATCTCCTCACTCACTTACTCAATTATCTTCGTTTATACTCTACTTCTGGAACTCTATGTATTAAATCTCTGATCTCTTATAACTCAATTATTTTCTCAGAGCATTGTGTACCACTTCAAATCATTTACTTTCACAGTACCACCGACATTTCCTTATCATTGCCTATCTACAAAATGTACGTTAAAAACGTCTTCTTACATGATCACGTAAATGAACCATATATACGTTTGTGACACTTTAGATTTTTAACATCCATCTCCACAAATTGTTATTGTATTAACTTATACTCTACAAATACGCCAACTAGACAGGGTCTCCTGATACTTGTCACTCCACTTTCTGGATATTGTTTTTTTCTTAGCGATAATCTTATTTCATGGTCTTTTTAAAAGACAAATCATTGCTTCTGATCTAACATAATAACAAAACATCGAGGGTAGTCAATGTCACAACTTAAACATGTTGGATTTGGAATTTACAAGAGCTACATATGTCAATCCTCATGGTCACATTCATATATTATGATAATGTGAGTGTTGTCTCTGTTAATATGGGAACTATATTTCACATCAATAAATGAAATACGATAAACTTGATATTCACTTTGTTCGATAAAAATAGTTAATTGATAAGTTCAGGTGTTACATATATATTCTAGATATCAGCTTGCCAAAAGTTTTACTAAAGGAATACCTATAATTTTATTTAATGACTTTTGTAACAGTATGAGCATTCGACCCACTCCTGCTCCAGTTGAGGGAGTTTATTATTCCCACATATGATATCAACATTACCTTGTAACATATTACTATAGTAACAAATTGGATTAACAGCAAAGTTTATTGCTTAGCATAACATATTGTATAAAGAGAGATTCACCAAAATGATCACATTCATAAGTGGTGTTCAATAAATTGACTATATTAGTTTTAAATCACATAACCGCTCAACATCCTCAGA